AGTCCAGGTCGATTAAAACTTGATTGTACTTTTTTTGCAGTTTTGCATTAATAATTCCATAAATTTTGACAACACCCCCAATAGCACCGGGTGAAATGCAGCCCTCATCTATAGATCCATCTATATATATATCTATATATATATATATATATGACCAACCATATATATAGATGGCCAATGACCAAAGCAATATTGCTTTGGTCATTGGCTGCTTGCTCAGTCATTTCAGTTCCGCGGTTCCATCCACAGTGGTGAAAGTGACTGCGCTCTCTGATTGGTCTGCGTCCTCCTCCAGTGGCCTTCAATTAGAGGCGGGGATTTATCAGCAGCTGTACGTGACGTCAGTGACGCTGATTAAACAGGTGAAGCAGGATCTTGTAATTGCTGGTATTTCGCGTTTGCTCTCCGATCGATTAAGAGCTCGTGGACTTCAGTAAAGCTTCTGCTTCAGTGGGCAGGATTTGAAAGCAGGGCTGCTCTGTCACCATGTTTGACCTGAAGAAGAGGAATAGTTTGACTCTGAGGGACAGCCGCGGGACGGAGGAGTTCAGACGAGTGGCGGTCAGACGGAAAGTCCAAGGTCCTGTGGGTGACTGTCAAACCTCAGGTGAGATACTTTCCGCTTTGGAAGGCTTTATGATGTTATTGGCTTCTAGACTGCATCAACTTTGGGTGTTAATTGAAAATAAATAAACAGGTGAGAGTTTAGCTTTTGTGTTGATGCTAATAGTTTATCCTTTCAAGAGGCAAATGTAAACTGCAGTGAAAGCTGGTAGATATAAGCTAATATTCACAATAAAACTCATATTACACTCATAACTAGTACTTATTATATTCTGTATTATCCCGTTTCTATGTGTAGTTGCCAGTTTTACAAATTTATAAGCTAATACCAGTAAACTCTAAATTATTAGTGCAGCAGTAGAGACTGCATGCTATAAAGCTTGTAATGTTTAGCCTCCGGAGGCCTGTGTTTGTGGTGCTGTAATTGTGCATATAATATTTATACTTTAAAGGGCTTTCTAATATTTTGTCTGCAAGTCGAAACGCTTAAGAGCAAAGAAAATGCATTAAAAATAAAAAGGCACAGCTAACACTGGCAGTTTTGGCTCTGTATGAGGGGGACCAGGGCAGCAGGGTAAGGGCATTGACCCTCCTTGTTATGCACGGATTACATCAGTTAATACTGTTTTGGTTGCTTTGTAAATCCAGTCCCTTTGGATTGCTCTCTGTGTGTGTATTTTAATTTTTTTCAGCCACATTTGGCA